CGGAATTTTGCGAGGAAAGCGAAACCCAAGCCCTAAGCCCTAAACCCTAAACCCCAAACCCCAAACCCTAAACCCTACACCCCAAACCCTAAACCCGAGAAAGGCGGTCCAACAAAAAGGGGGCAAGAAGCCCCTGCCCGCCCTGGACTTCAACACTCCGCGAGCCCAACCCCCACACCCTTCAAGGATTTTTGGCTGGTTCTTAGTAGGGTATGAGGGGATAAGGCACCCTACATACTCCCATAAAGGGTAGACATTGTAGGGCCCTCATTCCCTGATTCCCTGCTAAGAACCAGGGGATTGTTGGCTTTGGCCTTGGGCGGAGGTTGAGGGTTTCGGAGTTAGGGTTTAAGGCTGAGGGTTTGGGATGTTCCCCCTTATAGTAAACAGTCCTTCATAGGGATGATCGTACCACCAAGTAGAATCCCTATGCAGTGCAGTAAAGGGAGAACATCCCAATTTAGGGCCATCGCTAGTTTCTACCTAAACCCTAAACCCTAAACCCTAAACCCTAAACCCTAAATAGGGGCTTATCGAGTTGGACTCGGGCCATCATGGCGCCTCGGAGCTCACGAAATTGACTAGGCCGTACCCCACGCACTGTTCCTGCCAAAGAAGACCCTAAGCCCTAAACCCTGAACCCAACACCCTACAAGGGTTTAGGGTTTAGGGTTTAGGGTTTAGGGTTTAGGGTTTAGGGTTTAGGGTTTAGGGTTTAGGGTTTAGGGTTTAGGGTTCCTAACTGTTTAGACCCTGTACCCAACACCCTAAAACCTAACTTACTTAAGGTCTAGGGTTCAGGGTTTGAGCTTCGGTTGGACAGCCCTCCCTATCGGCTTTCGATGAATTGGGTTCAGGGTTCCGCGGCCCTCGTGCAAGAATGTCTCGACAATGCAGCGACTGCAAACACATAAAGATACAATAGTATAACACGGTTAAGTAGATATGAATATGATAAGACACTGATACAACAGTACAAGAAACTAATGTATACATCACATACGCAGGCAAGAGGCTACACTTTAAACCCCAACAAATCAAGGTTTCTGAGCTGCGGAGCCTTTACCCCCAGCCGAGGTAAAAGGGTTGATGTTTAGGGTTTTGATTTCGGGTTTACGCTGTCCTTGAACCTGAACCCCTATATATATATATATTCCCTGAACTGTGGGGTTAGACCCTTGAAAAAGTCACGTGCGGCCCCTTGGGTGAAAGCCGGGGAAGGTTACACAGTACAAACAAATCCTGTCTAGTTGCATGTATCAGAAGGTCTCAGACAAGCCTCAACACCAAAGCCACAAGGAGAAGGAAACAGAGTCATGGCATTTCTCTTTAAGGCCTAAACCCTAAACCCTAACCCCGAAACCCTAAACCCTGAACCCTATATCCTGGTCCAAGGCCCATCGCCTTGCACTTCTTCTCTTGAGGTGTAGGGGGTTGCGAGCCCAAGAAGCCTTCAACCCCAAGCCACAACAACAAAGCTCAGCGCGCGGGGCTTACGGCTAAGGCTGGAAGGGTTTGGGGGTTTAGGTTTCGGGTTTAGGGTTTAGGGTTTAGGAAGGTTCAAAACTAAACATTGCAACCCCAACTGAAAACCTCAAAGGATGTACGCTCGTAGCCCTGAGGCTCTACGCATAGCAGGGTTAACTTAACTCACGGAGCCTTCCTCAGGAGTACAGTTCAAGGAAGATTCGAGAACCCTCAACCCTAAACCCTAAACCCTAAATCCTCACCCCAAACCCTAAACCCTAAGCCCTAGATCCTAAACCCGCGGCCGCCATCCTGATTCCACTGCAGCGGCACGTACAGGAAGTCAAAGCAGCCATGGAAGCCTAGAGAGGGCAGGGCGTTCTACTTGGAGGTTCAAGTTACTGACAACCCAGTTAGGGTTGAGGGTTTAGGGTTTAGGGTTCAGGGTTTAGGGTTTAGGATTTAGGGTACTTAGTAACCCAATGATGAGTGTAGGTATGACCCTTTATATATATATATATAAGCCCCTCAAGCACCCGAATAGGGTTAGAGTTGGGTTATAAAAGTACAGTTATTTATAATTGGGTTACTAAGTACCATGAAGCTCCAAGTGGGGTTTAGCGCTTCGACGGGGCTTGGAAGGTTTCAAAGGGTTGACTTGGAAGCTCTTTGGTGACTTAGTAGGGTTAGTAAGCTGGGGTTATGGGGATGTTAAAGGGTTTCTAGGGGATACTAAGCAGCCTTACTAAGTCAATAGGGCCAGGGTCTAGGGCTACCCTAAGCCTAAACCCTAAATCCTAAACCCTAAACCAGACAACAATTGGGAGGCCGACAATTGCAAACTCACACACTGGCGCGCCTGCTTGGTCCAACAGCCTTTTGAGTAAGTTCCTGCGCAGGATGCTATGCAAGGCTCTGGAGAGAGGGTGTTCTTAGTAGGGAATGAGGGAATTAGGGCCCTACAAAAAAAAACTTTGAGGGATTCTATAGGGCCCTCATTCCCTCATTCCTTCCTAAGAACCAGTCACTAGGGGTTTTAAGTGCTGGAGCTCTGGATCTGTGAACTGGAGGTGCGCGTGTATGAGTTAAGGAGTTTGGACGTGGCGTTGCCTTCCAGTACTGTCATGCATGCGCGGTACCCGGTAAACCCTTAACCCTAAACACTAAGCCCCTAGTTACCAAACCCTAAACCCTACAACCCCTAATTACCCTAAAGCCCGGAGCCACTAAACCCTGCATCCTTCGGAGACTAACGTCAGGCGGAACTGCTCAGGAACCACAGGCAAGAAAGACATGCACGGGCATAGAGGAGACAGAGACTCGAAACACACAGAGTTCGCTGACTGAATTTGGGGCCCTTTTGGTATCCTTACTATGTAAACGGGTGCCGTGGTATACTAGGGGACCCGAAAAGGGGCCCTAACTTTGGAGAACAACCCAAATCTTACGCCGAGGACGGCTTCCTGTCAAAGCTTCTGGGCAGGTTCTTCATGACCAGCGTCGTCCTCCCCGCAGCACGAGGGCTCTGTAAGGGGGCTTTTATGCCGAGCACCCGAGGATTGGTAAAGGTTTTTGGGGCAGTTTTAGGGGTTCAGGTTTAGGGTTTAAGGCTGGTTTAGCTTTAAACCCTAAACCCTCATGCCGAACCCTAAATCCCCCCCCCCCCCGCGCCCAGGGGGGAGGGATACCGTATTCAGTAGGCCATGAAAGATCAGAATTAGACCTTAGGGCTGAGGGCTTAGGGCTCGGGATTAGGGTTTAGGGTCTAGGGTTTAGGGTGGTTTAGGATCTATAGGAATTAGGATCCAGGGTTTAGGGCGGTTGAACGTCAGGGCTTCGGGTTGTAAACCCCAAACCCTAAGCCCTAAGGCTGCTTGGTTGGAGCCACCTCCGTGTGCCTAGGCTCTGCTCAAACCCCTTCTGAAATAAACAAGCGCTGAAAAGGACCCCTCATGAAACTGTAGGGTTTAGGGTTTAGGGTTGAGGGTTGAGGGTTGAGGGTTGAGGGTTTAGGGTTTAGTTTAGGTTTAGGGTCCACAAAACCCAGAACCCAAACCCCAAAACCCCCTGGCTGAAGACCCAGGTTGTCCCACACCCCGCAAGTGAGACGTCTGGCTGCAACTAAAGCCTTTTGGGGAAGAGGTGGAACCACGCATTAAGTAGGTTTTGGGCTTCAGGTTTTTGGGTTCAGGGTTTAGGGGTTCTCAAGGTAAATCGCCCTGCACCCTAACCCGAAACCCCAAACCCTAAACCCGATACAAGACCGCGAGCAACCTCCCGGCTGGCAGCAGGAGGGTCCTGTTCTCCACGGAAGACTCATCTGAGGAGAACCCTGCCGAGTCGCCACGGCATACGGCGGGGACATTTAGTGTGTAGGGCTGAGGCTTGAGGGTTTAAGTTTCAAGCACTTCGCTAGGTTGAAAAAGATCAGATCGACGGCTGAAGAGTTAACAACTCTGGGAGGGGGGGGGGGGGTGGGGGGGTGAACCAGAATCTACGAGTATAGTACAGCCTTCACTTCTTCAGAATCTCTCAGCTACCCGTAATACCTCCGTGGTGTAAGTGCAATATCCTAATCTCAAACACCTCCAGTGGCCTGAAAGCCCGAACCCCAAACTCCACAAACCCTGGGAATGAGGTACCCGATGTAATCCCTTCAAGGGTATATATAGGGCCCTAATTGCCTCATTCCCTACTAAGAACCAGGGAGCTTTCTCTGGCAAGCGTCACCTGTCTCTTCACAGTTGTAACCCTGTGTGAAGACCAACAAAACGAGGGCACCAGAAGTTTCAACACCAAACCTGAACACTCCCCAGACCGATAGTAGCCTCTATGCGGATTGTGGATCGGGGATTGGGGTTTAGGGTAGGCATCATTCTTTCTCGATTGTTCGGGGCCTGGATGGTTCCGAAAATCTGCCAGGATGGGTGCCCGAAGCCCTCTACATCCCTCGTGAGCCTGTGGAAGATGCCGCTGCATCAGGCGTGCTGATCCACTGAGTTTCCTCGCAACTTTAGGGTTTAGGGTTTAGGGTTTAGGGTTTAGGGTTTAGGGTTTAGGGTTTAGGGCTTCGGGTTTAGGGTTTAGGGTCTAGGGTTGGTCTTACCATCTACTTGCGCAAGTAGGGTGTACCAACGCACGTGACACTTACACTTGTGCCAGATGGTGACGCAAAGCGTCAAAGAGAGCCGTAAGAGAATGCATTCACGAAGGCCGTGCTACGCCATGCCTTTCTGTTTCTGAACGATCTTGATTTTCTTCTTGATCATCCAGATGATATGGAAGTGCATACTTCCTTCTTCTTTCGAGGACATTAAGGCTAAACTGCTGGCGACAACGCTGGGGAACGCAGGATTTTGACGCCTTCTCACATCCGCCATCACTCGTCATGGCTAAGTAGGCCTCCTTCTTCATGTCTGCATTGAATGCCTTGTATGTCTCGTAGATGATCCGTACACGAAATCGCGGCACTCACGAGAGACCCGCAAAAAACCAATCTCATCAAGAGCCTTTCCGGCGGCTTTGCGAACATTTTAGCTGGTGTCGTTGACGGCCTCGCGCAGCTCGGGCTCGGCTCCCGCTACCTCTTTGCCAATGGCGCTCAGGGCCCTGGCAGCAGCAGCACGGACACCCTCATGCAAGTCTTGCAAGGCGTTCTGCAGCTCCGGCACTGTTCCCACTGCCTCCTTGCCCATGGACCCCAGAGCCATCGCGGCGGCTGCGCGGACAAGCCACTCAGAGTCTCTGAGGGCATACTGCAGCTCCGGCATTGCTCCCACTGCCTCTTTGCCCATGGCCCACAAGGCCTGAGCGGAACCTGCGCGGACATTCGCGTTGGAGTCTTTGAGGGCTTGCCGCAGCTCTGGCACAACTGCTCCCGCTGCCTCTTTGCCAATGGCCCCCAAGGCTGTAGCGGCAGCTCCACGGACAAACGGCGACTTGGAGCCCCTGAAAACATTCTGCAGCTCCGGCAGTGCTCCCACTGCCTCTTTGCCCATGGCTCCCAGGACCTTAACAGCAGCTATGCGGACCTGGAGGGAGCCAACAGCCAGGTCCTGCCGGAGTTTCGGCAGTGCTGCGTGGGCTTCCCGACAGGCTTGGTGCAGCAGGTTTGCATCTAGCCTTGCCTTGATGCTTTGGTCCGCAAACTGCGCCAGGCACAACTCGGATGAGATAGTGGTGTCAAACATCTCCATGACGTCAGGCAGGATCAGGAGGAGCTGCGGGCGATCCCTCACGAGATCCGGCAGTCGCAGGCTCTCAATGTCCGGACTGTAGTCTGTCGGGAATTGCCTTGCCGCGGTCTCAAAGAACTCAAAGTCGACATGGCCTTGGGCACGGCACTGCTGGTATACGGCCGCTGTCAAAGAGCTCATGGCGCATTCGCGCTTCACCTGCTCCCCTGGCTTCAGGAACTCCAGAGCCTTGCTGTCCAAATCCTCCAGGTCTTCCTGCAGCTCGCCCGTGGTGTCCACGCATGAGAAAGTCTTCACCTGCCGCCAAGCATCCAAGAGCCCGTTTTGCTCGATCTTGTGGCGGATGATCGGCATCAGGTGGAGGCATCGAACCTCTTTGTGAAGATTCAGGACCCTGAAGCCCTGAGCGGGTGGGTATTTGGCCAAAACGGGGAGCTCCGCGCGATAGAAGATGCTTTCCCGCAGGGTCCACGTCTCTTTGACCAGCGACTTGTTGACCAAGAATCGGACCTCGGTAGCCCCAGCAACCACATTATAAATAAGGGCACCCTTTATGGGGCTGGTTACTTTTTGAGGGAAACTTGAACCCAACAAAAAGGGAAAAGGGTACCACCGGGCTGCCAAGGAACAAGGGCGTCGCCATTGCGCCACACCACAGCATCGGAGGCCGTCTGCCAGATCGGCTCTTTCCTAGGCCATTGAAACCCCCTGAAGAATATTCCGGACTATGATCCTCTTCAGCCCAAATATAAGGGAACATACAAAATATCCCAAAGGGCCTACCTAGTTTCTGAGGCCACGTGCAGCCTCCAAGGAGATCGCCATGTCGATCTCTTGTCTCTTCGATGAGTCGCCCGAAGGGCGTCTGCAGGTCGTCGTTGCTGCCAGCGTGCAGCATGTACGTATTTAGGGCCTTGCAGCACCGAGCCCGTGACTCTGGGCGGACGCCGCTCCAGAGCAGCAGCGTGGAGTTTTTGTCATGGAAGGACCGATTTGTGAAGAGCAGGCCGTGGGAGGCATCGCGCTTGCCCCAGCGAAAGGCCTACACTCCCCTTAGAACCTTAATAAAAATAATATTGTTAATATCCTCTTGGGTATTACATAAGAACTAAAAATGAAAAAATGATTCCCAAAGGGAATATAGAGGCATGCATGATCTTCATTGCCATGTCCGTTGAGTCGACGTCGGTGACGTACGTCAGCCATTTGAACGCGCCACTCTTCAGCAAGGGCTGAAGCTCCCGGCAGAAGGCGACCACCTGCTTCTCCAGGATCCTCAGCGGCCTCTCGCACTCATCAGCTGGGGCGCCATTTTCGGCAGTTTCGGGTTCTGAGGCGGGCTCGGCGGTGGCGAGAGATTGGGTCAGGGAAGCCTCGCCAGAGAGCCTTAGGCTTGTCACTTCTTCTCCTTCTTCTGCCCGAAGGTTGCTGCCGTGGATCTCAGAGCTTCCGGCTTCCGCCTCTGCCGTCTCAGTGGACAGGCGAAATGCACTAGTTGGCAAACAACCAGGTCTTGAAACGAAGGAAAGGACACACACCCGGAGAATAGCCGACATACTGATGCCAGGGCGTGTCGCGTCATCGCAGGGCTGCAACGGACTGACCTGATGCAGCTTGAGCGAAGTTCTGCACAATTGCCTGAAGTGAAGAGACTAGGACATGAACCCTAAACCCTAAACCCTAAACCCTAAACCCTAAGCCCTAAACCCTAAACCCTAAACCCTAAACCCTAAACCCTAAACCCTAAACCCTAAACCCTAAACCCTAAACGGCTCACCACCATGATGCAATGATCGTGCTGCCAAAACTGGTGTCGGCCAAGAGGATGAGTGATTCTCGGTACTTGGAGGTTCAGGGTATTTAGTGACCAGTTATCAGTGCAGTTATAGGGTTTAGGGTTTAGGGTTTAGGGTTTAGGGTTTAGGGTTTAGGGTTTAGGGTACTGAGAGCCCGATTATAAGTGCAGCTATAACCCACCTATAAGACCCTTAAGTACCCTCATAGGGTGATGATTGGGTTATAAGTACACTTATAGTTGGGTTACTAAGTACCATGAACCTCCAAGTACTTAATGAAATCTAAGGCTGCGCTAAGTCTTGGTCGGTGCTGCTGCTGTGCTGCGTGAGACAGAAGCCACTGGGCATGCTAAGGGTCATACTTGGAGGTTCATGGTACTTCGTAACCCAAATTCTACCTGTACTTATATCCCACTTAGAACCCCGTTAGGGTACTTAAGGGGCTGATAAATGGGTTACGTGCACTTGTGAATAACTACCCTTGAACCTCCTAGCGCCCAGGCACTGCACTACTTGTGTTGCACCCATGTAAAACCAACCCCCACTCACGCGACAGGCTTGTGAAGCACCACCCCTAAACCCTAAACCCTAAACCCTAAACCCCAAACCCCAAACCCCAAACCCCAAACCCTAACCCTAAACCCTGTACAGCTGCAACCAAGCTGCTACAGCTGCCGCTCGCGTCATGTCGAGTTCCTGACTCTGCAAACGGCGCGACGGGGAGCGATAAGCTAGGAACGTTCTAGGGTGTAGGGTTTAGGGTTCACGCCGGGAGAGAGGGCCGCAAAATCCTCCTGCTAACGATGTGTGGGTTTCCGACGAAAGTCAGCGAGGGCCGCTGCTTGAAGATCCCTTTTTTCGGAAAGCTTCCACATCACGTCGAAGGTTTCTTTCAAGGCTCCCTGATGTTGTCCCTTCATTGCCCTTGCAAACAAACATTTCATATAACAAAAGCCGTTGGGCTTGGGGGCTCTGGGGTTTCAGATCCTTAACCCTAAACCCTACACCCTAAACCCTAAACCCTACACCCTTCTACACCCTAAACCCTCAACCCTAAACCTTGAACCCTAAACCCTAAACCCTAAACCCTAAACCCTCAACCCTCAACCCTAAACCCGAAACCCCAAACCCCAAACCCTAAACCCTAAACCCTAAACCCGAACCCGAAAACACTGCCGTCAGGAGTCTTGGACTTGCAACGCGGCGGGCCAGAAGTGCAGACCTTTGTGCTTTTGGAGGAGATTTGCAGGCGGGTTTAGGGTTTAGGGTTTAGGGTTTAGGGTTTAGGTTTAGGGTTTAGGGTTTAGGGTTTAGGTTTTAGGGTTTAGGGTTTAGGGTTTAGGGTTTAGGGTTTAGGGTTTAGGGTTTAGGGCTTAGGGGTATAGGGTATAGTGTTTTGGGTTTAGGCTCAGGGTCTGAAACCCCAGAGTCCTGAGCCTTCAAACTTAAGCACCCTACTGTACCCCCCCATACTTCAAATTCCATGGGTAGATGCAAGTCTTAGTAGCCCAGCAACCATGTCATAATAAGGGCACCCCTTTTTGGGGTTGGATACTTTATAAGGGAACCCCAGAACCAAAACAAGGGCAAAGGGCACCACTGGGCTGCCTAGAAGTAGGGCTTAGGACTAGGAAGCATCGGGATTCTTGTCCTGACAGGTTGATGTCGTGCGACAGGTTGCAGGAGTCCCTCCAAGCAAGGCTGCGCACCAGCTCTTAACTACGGCTGCCCTCTTTGCTGCCCCAAATACAACTACCCGCACCAACCTCCAAGTATAATCCTAAAACCCTGAACCCCAAAGCCCGTTGCCTGAATCCAAAAGGGCCCCGTAGGCTACCATTTGCTTAAGGGCACCCAAGAAATAGACAATACTAATCCCTACATTACCCTTATAAGAAAAAACACTTTCTGAATTTTCGGCGGTTCTTAAGCAATTCGTCGTAGGGGCAGGGCTCGGCATCGAACCTAGGGACCTTGATTCCCTAAGTCCCGGCCAGGGACGAAAAATCTCCCTAAACCCTAAACCCTAAACCCTAAACCCTAAACCCTAAACCCTAAACCCTAAACCCTAAACCCTAAACCCTAAACCCTAAACCCTAAACCCTAAACCCTAAACCCTAAACCCTAAACCCTAAACCCTAAACCCTATCTGTATGGGCACCCAGGCTACTGGGAGGATCCACCAAGTAGATCCGCTTGAGGGTTCCTAAAAATGACCCAACTGTGGTTTAGGGTTTAGGGTTTAGGGTTTAGGGTTTAGGGTTTAGGGTTGTTTAGGGTTTAGGGTTTAGGGTTTAGGGTTTGGAGGGGGGGGTGGGGGGGGGGGTTGGGGGGGGGGTGGGTGGGGGGGGGGGGGGGTGGGGGGGGGGGGGGGGGGGGGGTGGCCGAAAACGCTGATTTTGCTGAGGGCGCCCCTACCCCCCTGTGCTGAACCGCCTGTTTACGCTGTGCGGGTGAACACAGAACTCTGCCGAGCAGGCTGGTATGATCTTCGAGCCATGCGAGCGGGATTAGACCTCTCAACTATGCTCCAGCGGGGTCGGCGGCTTGAGCCGGAGGCTCTTAAATCCGGGCACGCCCGTGGTCCGACGCCGTTAGGCGCCAAGCTATGACGGGGGCCGGCTAAGCCGCCGACCCGGTTGGCTCCCCAACATCCGGCCCCAAATGCGGCCCCCGAAGGGCATCAATTTTCAGGTACAATTTTTATCGCGAAAAACGCGCTATTTGCCACCGAATTTGGGCTCCTGGAGGCATTTTTTGGGTGCCCCATGGGGGGTCCCAAAAACGACCCCGGAGAGCATCATCGACTCTCTTTTTCAATTTTGGCCAAATACGCGTTGCTGATGTTTTTTGGGTGGCATTGGCACCGCAAAGGACCCCCACAAGAGCGCGCATCATGAGCATCAGCGGGTTGGGTTTTGGGTTTCGGATGCGGCTGAGAGCTTGGAAAACACAGAAATCGCTGTAAATACCGTGGTTTTCGTGCTGTTACGGACATTTCCGTTTTGAGGCCGGCATATGCTCCTATAAGCCATGCATGCCTGGAGGCCGGAGCCGCTGATGCTCATGATGCGCGGCCGGGCGGGGGGCCAGGGCGCGCATCATCGAGGCTTCGTTTCTCTTTAAAAAACCGGGGGGCGAGCATCAGCAGCATCAGTGGATACGGAAAGGGTTTCGGGCGGCGGCAGGATTTCGAAGGATGCTGGCACAACTCCATAACATGGCACACACGCGCGCGCGCGCGGGCGCGCGCGCGCGCGCGCGCAGAAAAAGCACCAGTGCCCGCGCGCGCGCGCGCGCGCGCGCGCCGTTGTTTTGTGGGGGGCCAGGGTGGCATCATCGAGGCTTCGTTGGCGCGCCGTCGCTTGTTGTTGTTGTTGTTGTTGTTGTTGTTGTTGTTGTTGTTGCTGCTGCTGCTGCTGCTGTTGTTGTTGTTGTTGTTGTCGTTGCTGCTGTGCTTGCTGCCGTTGTCCTGCTGCTGGTGGGCGTGCCCGGCTGTGGGCGACAGCCCTTTAGATTTAGGGTTTAGGGTTTAGGGTTTAGGGTTTAGGGTTTAGGGTTTAGGGTTTAGGGTTTAGGGTTTAGGGTTTAGGGTTTAGGGTTTAGGGTTTAGGGTTTAGGGTTTAGGGTTTAGGGTTTAGGGTTTAGGGTTTAGGGTTTAGGGTTTAGGGTTTAGGGGGGGTACGATTTGGGGGCTCTGCTTTTCGGATCCTCCCAGGGTTCTGGGCATTCCTAGACGATCCACATCCCCTCACTTCCTGCTAGGGAGCAGCAAACATGGATCCCGAAATCCAGAACCTTTGTCCCCAAACCCTGAGCTCAATAAACCCTGAGCCCTGGACTCTAAAGCCTCAGGTTAAACCCCTAAACCTCAACCCTGAAACCCCAAACCTTAGATCTCAACCCTAAACCCTAACCTCGGCCCTAAACCCTGCCGTAAGAAACCCAAAGCCTACTTGTCTTGCAGGTTGCCTAAGAACGCACAAACAAAAAGGTGCTTCTAGTAGCAGCCGACGAAAACATAGGTTTGGAGCTCTTACCTGGAGGTTCATGGGTACTTCTGACTCACTTAGGGACTCAGGAGGCTTATAAGTGCAGTTCTAATTGGGGATAGAAGTGCTCATGAACCACCAAGTAAGGTAGCTCGAAATCCTCAACACGCACGCCGTTGCAGCTCGGAGCACGGTTGTGGGGCCAAGCCCCCTGACAACCCATCATCTCCTGAGTTCGTTTAGGAAGGGATCCCATCTAGGGCACAGGTTGTACCCTTGGATCTGGGGAAGCCTTTCAGGAAAAGCATGGGGGGGAGTATATTTGGAACACAGCAAGGCGCCCCTCTTGAAGAGCGCCGAGCTTTTAGAGAATTTTAGATCCTCTAAGCTTTGGTCGCGCAATCCCAAGTAGAGACCCACAAGACCGAGAATACTGAAAGTTGTGCCAAAAGTGTGCCGATATATTTGAAGCAACAAAAGATGTGCCCAAAAAAGACGATAATGCAAACAAAAACCAAACTCAAAAGAACCCGCCGATGTTCGATATATTTTCGTCACCTCAAAAGCACGCTTTCGGAGTGTTTCTGTGCATGACAGATACGTTAGTTCTAACTCAGCACGTACATTCCAAAACCCGGTTGCATTTCCGACTGCATTTTAGACACAAACTGTTCACCATACTAACTACTTTCAACAACCTTTATGACCTGCCTGATTGTGCAGCTAAGCGCAAAGCCCTACAGAAGGGTTGAGTCAAGAGGGTTTGGG